TTTTCCACATTCTCGTTATACATGTTTTGGCATGAGCATAAAGCAGGCATGCTCATTTATATTCTCGCTGATCAAGAGGAGAAGTCTGATTAATATGAATTTGGGATCAAGGTGAGGGTCAACTTTGTAACCTGCACTAAAAGGAACTTCATGGAGTGACTTCTCCCAGAGGGGGATAGTTCTGTTAAATCAGTGGCCCAGAGGCAGTGGAACAAATCTTCTTCCTCCTGTTATCCTCATTTTAATATCAGCTGCACAACAGCAGCACAAAATACTGGATTAGAACTAAACATACCATATAACTGAATCGTGTACTCCGATCACACCCCTCACACTGCGTATCATTGCAGGTTGTTAATCATGCCTTTCCTTATGCTCTTTCCTCCTTCCTCTCCCACTGTTTTGCTTCCCTCCCTCCCCTCTCTCAGATCTTCCCCTAAAGCCTCCTTTCTCCTCTCAGTCAGTCCTGTCCTGCCTGCGTGCTCCTTTATGTTATACCTCTGTTCTTGAATAATTTTGGGAAGCAACATAGACACTCTTAGCCAAAGTTAAAGGTTACATTGCCTTACAGTATCTTTGTTGCCTTTCCCAAAATTAACTTGTGGTCTTGTAGCTCTACTAACCCAGTTGTAAGAACATCATCTCTCACCATTGTGGTCTGAAGCATACGAGACCTTTCATTTTCCATTTTGCTGTGGAGAGCATCTAGAAAATCTGTTGGCCTCTTCATAGCTTTATCCCATTTCCCTGAGCGAAGCAATGGAGGGGTGACCTGGTATATAAGATGGCAAACAATTGGGTTAGGAGCAACAGACCTGTTCTATTTTTTTGTGAGCAAGAAGATATTTTCTGTTCCTTGTTTTAATGTTAATGAATTAAAAGACTGCCAATGCATTCCAGCCCATCGCTGGCAAGGCACCAGTTCAGCTTTCTCTTAGTGCAAGTTATCTACCAGGGATCAAAATGCCTTGTTCTTGGCAAGCATGTGCGGGAGTCAAAGGAATGTGAAGATCTTTTTCATTTTCTTAGGGGAAACTCCTACCCTGTTCAGGCACGGGAACACCAGCTTTTTTAGGACAACAGAATTATATCCTAGTGCACTGCCAATGGTGAACTCTTTGGTCTTTCTGTCTTACATAGCTTTGGTCCTAGTTGTTTTGTCCACACTCTGAAAATACAACAGGAGTCAGACGTGACTGGTATTTCAGGTGCGAGTGAACTGGGGGAGAGGGACCGTGCCCCACTCAAGGCATCCCTCCATGAGATATGATTGCAAGGGAAGATGATAGCATAGGAAGCAACTCTACAGATTTGTGCCATTAGAATAATTTTCGCTTTAGCAATGGAGTTTTCATTTAATCAGTTTCTGCCAGATCCCCTCTTCTTTGAGCTCTTCAAGTTCACCACAGGGCCTGTTTCTGAAGCACACTGTCTGGTCCAATTTTTTTTGTTTTCCTGCCATACGACGTAGAGCTTAAAAGGAAGAAAAAAACACAAAGGGAAGATGGAAAAACAGATATGTGAAATGTCTCATGGGAGATGCTTGCCCTTACCATGTCATGCTAGTTTAAATACAGTTCCCACACATCACATGTCAAGCTGTATTTGATCGTTTTCAAGTAGATGGCAAAAATCATGAGGGGGAAAATGTTCTTTTGTGTGACATGTTCTTCTTTTGATACATTGGTTTCTGTAGCTGTCAAAGCAAAGGCTGTTTTTCCATCTATTATTACAAATGCATTTGGGGTAAATCTATTCTGCAACTCTCTATTCCCTTGATTGTTTACTTCAGTACAAGTGTTATTGTTTTAGTTTTTTGAAATCTAACGAAACAATGAATTTTCAGTGGTGCATTTTCTCTATGATCCTCAGTAGGCAATGAGGTTCTTTCTCAGTGGAGATTTAGATCACATCTGGAAATGCAGTCTGTTTCAAGCATTTTCTGCTTTTCTGGCAGGAGAATGGAATATTTAATTTCATTATTCAGCATAGGGTTATTCATTTCATGCAATGAAGGGAAATTCATCAATATTGTCTTCAGCATCCAGAAAAATGATACTTACCATGACTGTTTCACATACTCTATTTATATTTTATATCTTTCTCATCACTTAGCAATTATTCATCTCTCTGCTGAGAGGTGAAATTGTTGTATTGAGTTACTATAATTTCTCTGAACTCCTGAAAGCAATTCAATCACTGAAAGCAATTGCTTTTACTTAAAGATATTTCTTGAGACAGATTTACCAAATGCAAATAACTGAATAAAGGTTATTTTTTCCTGTTGATTTTCAAGAATATTTAGTGATGCTTTATAAAAGGGGTAAATTAATGTTGCTACATCTTAACATTCATTGCACTAATATTAATCATGATGGATTCTTGGAGATGGATGCAAATGTGATCGTGCAAGTAAGTGGGAATGCAGTTGAAATGCAACATTAATTCATTCACAGTTGTTATTAAGTGTCACAAGATATTCATAGTTTTGCCGATATTTTCCTTTTTAAACAACTTGGTGTAAAAAAACCCGTCAGTGTGATGTATTTGTCTATGCAAGGTCATCAAGATAATTATCTCTGAATATTTTGTATTGTGTTTCAGTGTAGCATCCCAAATCTGCATTGGAAAGATCAAAGTACAGAGTGTAAAGGTGGTGATAGACTGTACCCCATTCCCACAGAAATCAATTAAAGGCCTTCCATTTGGGAAGTGGGCACAGTGGGAACAGAAACAGGCTTAGTATCACAATATGTGGTTTCTCTTGCCATCAGTAAAACAGATTTTCTCATTTATCTTATCCTCTGAGATGTTTAAATTTTGAATGTTAGCTGTTTCAAATTTTATGTTTGGGGAATCCAGGCACTGAGATGATTTGTGTTTAGGGCACTGAACTGGGACTCAGTAGATCTCGGTTTGTTCTGTCATGCATTTCCTATGTGATCTTATGCAAATCTTTTATTGCCTCTTGCACAGCCTCATCAGTAAAATAGGGTAACTTTACCCTTCTTGTTCGAAGGATTTGTTAACATTTGGGTGGCTTATCTACAGCGGATTGCTGAGGGCCATATGAAAATGTACAATCTTATTTAAATGTACTGCTTTACATATATATCCTTCTTTCATTTTGTGCTTCTACACCTACTGCTTTCTTACAGCCTCTCATGGGACTCTTTCTTTCATTCTTTTCTTTATAAGCAGTCTTCCACAGGCTGGCCTTCTCCAATACACGCTGATCAGGTCCTGGCTTTTAAGCTCACCAAAGCAGGTAATATGTATGAGTGGATATGTATGTGTTGGAGAGGCACTATGTGAGCTGTACTTCATATAGATAATCTTTGGTGATCCAACTGACAGGTTTGTGCTTAGGAAGCTGGATCTTTGATGTATTTTTCTTCCAGATATGTCCGCTTAAATGATTCAGATTTACAGTTCTCAGTCACAGAAAGTCATATTGATTTCAGTAGTGAGCATTGTTTACATAAAAACCCAAGAATGCTATTTCAGATACTTCTTTCACAAGTATTCAAATAGCAAAACCAATACTGTGCACAATTTTTTCTAGAAAGTATATTATATTAGTATGTATTCACACAAAACTATTTGCATAAATGCTTCTGTGTTTGCCCCATTTGCCTTTGCAAAAAAGTGCTTTTATAGTTTAAGGCTTTTAACTTAAACTACGTGTATTTTTTAGCTTAAGTTCATAAAAGATTCAGATTTCAGCTTAAGATCATAAAAGCCACTGAGCCTTTACTGGAGTGAGCACACGTGAGCTGTACATTGTTCCCCATCAGTCAGTATTATCTGGGATAGAGCAATGATTTCAGTAGCAACTACAGGAGATATATCTACCTGCTCTTTATAGTTTTAATGAAGGTGAGAATTCCGTATCCCATGGAGTACTGTTTCTTTGATGTCTTTGTTTGCACAGCATGGACAAATGTTGACCTACTAATGGCATCTGCTGTAAAACCATTGCTGACTAAGCGGCTCTGTAGACGGGGCAGGTATGGAAATTTAAAAACACCCTACTGCCAAACAAATGAATATATCTTTATCTAAAAGCATTAAATGTATGGATATTTACATGCTTCCTTCAAGGAGGCAGTAAGAGTCATGGTTTACCTGCAAGCAACTGCATTTTCCTTAATGAAACTTCCATTCAGACATTGTAGATATAAAGCCAGCCAATATGGAGGACCTGACGGAAGTGATTACAGCATCTGAGTTTCATCCCCATCACTGCAATCTCTTTGTCTACAGCAGCAGCAAAGGATCCCTGAGACTCTGCGACATGAGGGCATCAGCTCTCTGTGACAAACATTCCAAGCGTAAGTCCCTGCTTCACTGAGCCCCAGATGTCATTAAAGTCTTATTATTCATGGACAGCATGTAGATGTGTGCGTACCCTAGTGTATTAGCTTTTCAGTTGCAGGCACAGTTGAAAAGAAAACAGCAAAAGGAAGAAAATTTTCTCATCTGTTGAATTATTACCTATGAACTTGATAATAGTCATGTCTGTGACTGGTCGCCCCTGTGGTTCCTATTGCACGGATCAGTGAAGAACCTACAAGTCTCACAGAATTGGGTCTTCAGTTTCTTCTGCAATGTTGAAACATTGGGAAGGAAATTCAGGAGAAATTCCCGTAGTGCCAGGGGCACATAAGAGGTTTTATGTCATTCGGTTCCTACTTGAACCTTTTTGAGGTAGGCAGATCTTATTGGGGGGGGAGAAAATATTTGAAGATTTAAGAGGCACAGAAGTGGTGCACAGATTTAGCACACAAACTATTTTTTTAACTGAAGTAAATGTATTAAAGAGCCTATGACTAGGCCTTTTGGCTGCAACGAGAAGTGCACATGCTCAGAACCTCTCAGGATGTGGTCTCAATTACAGAAAATAATCTTTCAGGACAATTTCCTAAGCAGAGAAGTGTTTTACCTTAGTTAGGTGTATCCCCTTGTACTTGTAGGGGGAATTCAATACCATGAAGTGAAATGCGAGCATGATACAACCTGGCATGTTGTTGTGAGTTATCCTGTCCCGCTTAATTGTTTTGTTCCATAATACTTTGATTTCTTCCTGCTAATAAGGCCTCTGTGCCCCTGTAACTCAGTACCAAATGCCAACCGTAACTTATTAAAACAACAATACAGTAACCGTGGATGAAAGAAGTCATTTTATGCCAGAAAGGAGAGCAAGGTCTAATGGTCATTGATTAAACCCCATTTTCCAGATCTATGAGTTAGAAAATAGCCATTTAATGTAGCATTGCTGCCCTGAACTCAAGTCAAGCTCATTGAGAATCTGAGTGTGTACAATGCAAAATTGATACAGCAATGGTAGAACTTCCAAAGCGTTAAAAGGAATAGCCCACGTACTGCTGGTTGGAGTGGTTTGAGTATAGCTCTCAGAGGCAAGCAAAACTAATTATATAAAGCCCATAACAACCTAAAAGGATATATCATAAAATCCTGTCAGTCTGGGAAATCAAATATTTGCACAATTGTCTCTCTAGTACCTTCACTGTGCATCTGATTCCTCTTTACAGTTGCTCTACACATGGTGCATATGCATGATCAGTACCCTACTCTCCTAGCTCAGCTTGCCTTCCCACCTTTCCCCATAACTGACTTCACTTCTCAACCAAAGCAGCTATGACTATAGTGACTGTAAACCCTCATGTTCTGCCATGCAACCCTGCTCTCTTAATTCAGTCTAGTATCACTATGTGCTGTATTTCAGATGCTGTTCCAAGATTGTAATGGATGTACATATTTTTAGGGATAAAAGATCCAATGTAAAACTCATAAAAAATATCTGGATGCTGAGCATATGTTGTGAATTTCTGGTTTTACTCCTTCAGACCCTTTGTTATCCAAATCTCTCTAGCTGGGCTAAAGTCCGTTGCAGCTTTTGGGGGAAGGGCCCTTCCATTTGCACAAGTCTAGAGAGTGCCATGAATAATTACTGTGCCATACTGTATAAATAAATTACATACTAATATCTGTAGTGTAAGTCACTGACACAGGATGTTAATAAATTATAGTGTTCTTGAAGATTTCTGGTTTGCTAAACTCAGTGGCAAAATATCTCTGTTTGGCATTAGTGACAGCAACACTACAAGGTTTCCCTTATAAATCTTTCATGGCTCTGACATGGAAGAGACAAGAGACTTCTTCCATATCTACTCATCCTTGGTGCCTATGCTGAGATTCATTAGCAAGCTGCCAATTTGTGTGATGAGTTGTAATGGGGACCTCTGTCCCTTAGAAAAATGATCTCAGACCACCAAATCCATCCATAAGGCATTGACAGAATATTGGGTCAGTAGCTGAGTTTTAAGTGGTCACTGAGATACTGATAAAGTGTGATAAAATGTGTTGTTTTTCTAATAGACTACCTGAAAGTGCTTCTTATAACACCTCTTTAATAGATCATGCAAGCAATCAGAAGCAAAACGTATGTGGCCATTACAGATGGACATCCAGGAAAGCCCAGTCTGTAACCACAGGGGAGATACATACATATTACTGTTCTGTGGTATTATCACACTTCGCAAGTAGTGGGAGAGAATTCCATCAAAGTATTCTGGAGAGGAGGTGAAAAAAGAGGTGCATATACCTGCTTATTTAGAACATTAGAGGGGTGGGAATAAGGAAGAAGGTGTTCTTGCAGTCCACAGGGTTATAGGTAGAAATTAAAAACAGGCATGAAAGTCAGACTCAAGCAGCAAGAAATAGGGAATTAATTTAAATAATATGGAAGCTGTCATCTAAATAGCGTACGTAGCAAAGAACCGTCTTTGAGGTGTTATTCAGGCAACATGCATGGCAATGCAGTGTAGAAAGAAGGCAGTATACTGGAATTAGGTGACAGCAGCGAAACAAGGGAAGCTAACAGCTGCAAAAGTATTTGTTGTTAGAGCAATGAGCTGGGAACATCCAAGAAATAAAAGAACTATCCCCCACCCCAAATTCCATAAATTCTCATGCAAGGGATTCAGGTGACAAGACAAGCATAAGGATACTGTTGCAGTAAGAGCGTCCTGACCAAAAAGTACTTACAGCAGTGTAATATGCAACTGTTCAATTAACAAATAGTTGCTAATTTAATTTTGATCTTTTCTTGCTAATATGTTCAGAGCTCCTTATAAATGTGCATGGAGATAACACTGTTCTTCCAAACAGCTTGGAGACTAGATAGGTACATATGGCAGTTTCAACAAATCATCCAATAAAGCAGTCAGCTAAAGAAAACTGAGCTTGAGCATGTGAAGTTGGAAAAAAATGAAGAGCTTTTTCAGTAGTTCACCAGAATTATTAAATTTAGAATTTAGTGGTAAATAGAAAATGTATAGTTATGCAACATGGAAATTTGAGTCACTCGAGTATATTTGATATTCTGTGTAATAGCCTTAATACTGTAAAGTCATTGCATACTTCAGAAGTCATAATCTATTTAAGTGTCGTATGTTGCTTTAAGGGTTTTTTTAGTGTTCATTTCTTAATATGTATTTGTAGACTAAAACCCTATTACTAATTATCCATTACCCATGTGCAAAATTTACAACAAAATACTTCAAGGAAGGAGCAGCTGCAGTTTTAAGTTTATTGTTCCGTGTACCGCGGCAGTCTTTAAAATACAAACTTTGGGGTTACATAATGCAGTTAGCCTCTGTCGCCATTAGTTCATGCTTCCCATCCCCCATGCAGACCTCACAAGCTTATCATATCTGGTTCTGGAACAGGAGCCATTCAGAGCCCCCCTCCCTTTGGCCGAGAAGCATTTGTAGATGACGGGCAATCCTAACAGCCGTCTTCTCTGGACTCGCCCTGAAAGGGGCAAAGCATCTCAGCTGGTGCCTTCCCAATTCCATGGGATGGATAATCAGTATCTCAGAAGTATCAAATGGCCTTTGGAGCAATGCAGAGTGAATTTTGGGTTTGGCTTGTGACCCAAAGATGCCACCCGAAGATGGTGGTGGTGGTGTCTTTTTTCCTTGAGAGTCCTTTACCACATTTTTTATTTGAAATCCAGGCATGAAAGAAATGCCAGCCCTTCTCCAAGGATAAATGCCACTATCCTGTCAGTCTGGCATGTAACTCAATTTGGTTATCTGCTGTTTTTTTTAAGAATACCTTTGATTTTAAACTTAAGAATGCAGAAGTGTGGAAGCAGCCAAAACAGAAATCAAGGATGATATACTTGAACATGCTGAATTTTTAATATTAAATTAATTATATTTACCAGTTGTTTAAAGGAGGTTGGAATTTCAGAGACAAGACAGCTTTCAGACCTCTAACTGAATATGGATTATCTTTCATTTGCAACAGAGAACAACCAGCTGCATGAAAAAGCCTGTGACAGAATATCCCTGCTGGATTTGCTAATTAATATTGACCTTTCCAAATGAATGATGCTTATTGTATGACTGGAAAATAGACAACTTCTTTTCCTTTTATGTGAGCTTTACATTTAAAATACACTTTACATTTAAAATACATTTTTTTATTTTTGCATCTGGTCTCACATCAGGTTATCATCTGAGAGAGAGACAGCCAGCGTTCTCCCTTTGTGCATTGAGAGGCCACTGTCAAAGTATGTCCACTTCAGGCAAAATCTGCAAGGTTTCATGTGACAGGAGTGAAACTTATATGAGCTTCCGTAATGATTTGACCCTATGCTTTAATGAAGGCTTGTTCTCCTTATCCTAATTCTGGATTTATTTTATAAGCATGCACTGCAAAGGCATATATTGAGTGCTGATTTTATATCCCCAATGAAAAAATGTGCCTGTATCCTGATAATTTTGTAATTATGACTGTCACTAAAGATCTGTTACTACAATTTCACGCATGCTAAACTAGATCCTGGAAGGTATCCTTCCTTGTGCAGGATTCCCATTGAAATTTGGTAGAAGATTGCCTTTAGCATGGGCTCCGAAGCTTCCATTCTACTTAGTTTGGATGAATGTACAATACAGACATTTGAAACATGGCTAATGAAAATTCGAAAGCGTTCCTACAGAAATGCAATTACAGCTATACAGTATTTCCTCCAGTTGTGAAAGTTATGTTAAAATCAAATCAGAGGAAGAAAAAAACTGATTTATGTACTTGTAGCTATCAAATATTAAGAGGAAAGATAAAAGCCTGAAGCAATGGTAAATGATTTATGATTGAAGAGGTGTTTCATTAACCCTTCTCCCCCAGCCACACACAGATAAAGCAAATAATTGCTGTAAGATTGCTTTAATTATTCAGTCTATTAAAATTCCTGTCTTGTTTGCTTAATTTTTTAAATAGCGACAAATACTGCTTTTCAATGTCTCATGAAACCAACATTAT